ATATATAAATCAATATATATATATAATATACAAGCTCTTTAGATGTATATATATTATCCAAATTCGTAGTCCAAGTTCGATTCACTTCTGGTCGTCTATTCCTTATGTCTAGGTCCTCCTTCACGGCTTACATCGGGCCTGAACAGCTGCAAGCATTTGGTAAGTTTTATTTTTTTGAGAGAATTTCATTTGAGTTCAAGTTTCGAATACGTATCTATACACCCATGTTTAGCCCCCTGCTTAATATCTAGGCCTTTGAGTGCAACAATTTCAAGAACGGACAGAGCATGTCGGACATCCACAATCTGAAACTTAAACAGCTAAGCCACAGATTCAGCTTTCTCTTAACTAACTCATACAGATATAAAGATAGCTTAAATATATTTCTTATAAATAGAAATGCTGGAATATTTAGTTCGTAATACAAATATTTAAAATTAAGAGTTGATAATTACAAACGTCATGTCGGGAGTGTCCGACTAGCAGTTACCTTACGCTCCGTGCCAATCGCGAAAGAGAAACATCGTAGCTATATATTGATAGTAAATAGATAACTGAATCATTTTCAGTTCTTATTCTAGACATCTAAATCTCCATCTCTTACACCAAATCAATTTTGAATAGTGTTCAACTCTTATACTGCGTATAAGTCTCTGACTCTTGCTACTCCTTTGCTCTTATAAATATAACACTCCCTTAAGCAGAGTGGCTGGTTTATAGTACTTACTAGATAGCCAAGTTGTTACACTATTCAACTAGTCTAGCTCAAGGGATCTTTAATTTCCAGCTCTTATACTGCATAACTTACATAAGATCGCTAGATAACGCTTAGCTCTTATACCACGTAGTCTCTTATTCTACGTTGATATTTTACATCTGTAAATGATCCTATAGTTCTTATACTAGCTCTTGTTTAATTACACACGTCTACATTTGATGAGTTTTTCCACGCTTTCTGTTTGTTACATTATACCTAAGACCGATACACCCTGTAGAGGGTATATTCATATAGGTATAAATTAGAAGACAAATACAAGTTTTTGTTTTTTTGTTGTTGTTGGTTTTTCATAGTAATTTATTGATATTTTTCATTATTCTGAGTAATTTACAATA